CCTGCGGCCGCATAATTCTGAACTGCGGCCGCACTTCTCTCTTTCTGCGGTCCACGCATTTCTGATTGCTGTCGCATATTGCTCTTCTGCGGACAGCACAAATGTGATTGTGGTCGCGTAGCTGTTCTTCTACGGCCACTCTTCTGTTGAACTTGATATGCAAGTTCTTTGAACTTTTTCTCTTGCCCAGGTTCTACGGCCGCACATGTCATGTGCGGACCGCACTTTGCACTTGTCTGTGATAGGAGTTTCTTCACAATCTGCGGCCGTAGATGAAAATCGGTTGTCCGCACTTCTGAGCTTCTATGTCTGTTTGTGTCCTTGAGTTCAGATCACTCCTTGAGTTGGATTTCATTTTGGGGGCTCATTTTCCAATATTCCTGCAATTAAGGATATTTTATCAATTTTTGGGAACACAATTAAACGCTTTTGGACTAAAATGAAAGCAAAAAGGTGCTAATATGCAATCAAAATCCCCACATATCAATCACCTCTCCCCAATACTTTTTAGGCTGCCCATACCTCTTCTCGTGCCTTCCAAAGCCAGTCGCTTACACCTCCTTACCGTTGCACCTGTGCTTCTCCTTTGTACATGCTCGAACCATCTAAGCCTCGCTTCCTGCATCTTATAATGGGAGACACTCCCACAGTCTTTCGAATACCATCATTCCTAATCTTATCCATTTTCATGTGACCGCACATCCACCTTAACATACTCATTTCTACTACTTTCATTTTCTGGATATGTGAGATATTAACTGGCCAACACTCAACCACATACACTATGGCAGGTCTAATCACCGCTCTATAAAATTTATCTTTGAGTAACGGTGGCATTTCTTTCTCATACAGGACTCCAGATGCTAACCTCCACTTCATCACCCCCATCCCAATACGATGTGTGACATCCTCGTTGATCTCCCCATCCCCCTGGATAACTGACCCAAGGTACTTGAAACTACCTCGAATGGGGATGACCTGAGACTCAAGCTTCACGTCCATGCCCGCTTCCCTCGGCTATGCTGAACTTGTACTCCGGGTATCCCGTCTTGGTCCTGCTCAACTTGAAACCCTTAGAATCAAGGTCATGTCTCCAAACCTCCAGCCGCTCCTTAACACCGCCTCGTATCTCATTAATCAGAACTATGTTATCAGTGAATAACATACATCATGGCACCTCCCCTTGAATATGGTGTGTTAGTGTGTCCATCACCAGGGAAATTTAATAAGAATGGACTGAGCGTAGATCCTTGGTGTAACCCCAAAACAACCGAAAAATGCTCCGACTCACCTCCTACATTCCTAACCAGTGTCTTAGCCCCATCATACAAGTCCTTAATCGCCCTAATGTAGCCAACCAACACACCTTTTGCCTCCAAGCATCTCCAGAGAACCTATATACGAACCTTGTCATACGCTTTCTCCAGGTCAATAAATACCATGTGCAGATCCTTCTTATTATCCCTATATTACTCCACCAACCTCCTAATAAGGTGGATAGCTTCCGTAGTAGAAGGACCCAGTATGAACCCGAACTGGTTGTCGGATATAGACACTGTCCTCCTTACCCTCACTTCTATCATCATCTCCCAAACTTTTAAGGTATGGCTCAGTAGTTTGATACTCCTATAGTTGTTACAACTCTGGATATCACCTTTGTTCTTATACAACGGAACTACCGTAATACACCTCCAATCATGTAGCATCCTCTTCGTCCTAAAAATAATATTAAACAGCTCGATCAGCCACTCCAACCCTGCTCTTCCCACACACTTCTAAAATTCTACCGGAATTTTGTCTGGCTCGGTCGCTCTGCCCCTACTCATCTTACGTATAGCTCCCATGACCACCTCAACCTTGATGATCCAACAGTACCCAAAGTCACAGTGACTCTTGGAATGCTCCAACTCACCTAGCTCAATATCCTGATCCCCTTCTTCATTCAGAAGTTTATAAAAGTAAGTCTCACATCTCCTCTTAATATGGGCCTCACCCATCAATATTCTACCGTCCTCGTCCTTGATGCACCTCACTTGGTCCAAATCTCTAGCCTTCATCTCTCTCGCCTTGGCCAGCCAGAATAACTTCTTCTCCCCGTCTTTGTCCCCCAGTTCCTCGTACAGATGACCAAAAGGCGCAACCTTAACCTCTGTGACCGCCAGCTTAGCCTCCTTCCTAGATACCTTATACCTCTCCCTGCCCGCTCTCCTTTCCTCCTCACATGTGCTCCCTACTAACTCCAGGTATGCTGCCTTTTTTGCTTCCAATTTACCTTGGACCACTTCGTTCTACCACCAGTCGCCTTTGTGCCCGCCAGAGTAGCCCGTCGAGACCCCTCACACCTCTCTCGTAACCTCTCTTATACAGTCTGTCGTCGTCGCCCACATAATGCTCTTGTCCCCGCTACTACTCCAGACCCCCATTGCCCTCCAACTCCTAAGCTTTATGCTTAGTCAAGGCTCCCCACCTGATCCTCAATCGTCGTTATACAAACCTCTTCTTCTTCTTTAACATAATATCAACGTCTATTACCAAGAGCCTATGCTTTGTCGCGAGGATCTCACCCGGGATAACCTTGCAATCCTTGCACAACCCTCTGTCACATCTCCTGGGGAGAAGATAGTCAATCTGAGTCTTCGCCACCGCACTTTGAAAAGTAACCAAGTGCTCCTCCCTCTTCGAAAAAGTAGAGTTCGCAATCACCAACTCAAAAGCCTTAGCGAAATTCAACGGTGAAGCACATCCTCCGTTTCTATCCTCAAAATCGAAGCCACCATGCACCTCGCCATAACCACCTGCAGTCGGCCCAATATGCCCATTGAACTCCCCTCCTATAATTAACCTCTCAGCAGACGGAACATTACGCACAATCTCATCCAACCCCTCCCAGAAGCGCCTTTTTACCTCCACATCCATGACCGCATGCAGCACGTAAGCGCTAACGACTTTTTGGGTGCACTCTCCAACTTAATAGTCATTAATCTATCATTCACCCGCCTAACCTCAACCACAGACTCTCTAAGTTCCCTATCCACCAGAATACGTACTCCATTCTTACCCTTCTAGACTCCAGAGTACAAAAGCTTATACTTGTCTGCATCCCTCGCTTTCGATCCTACCGACCTTATCTCCTGGACACACGCTATATTGACGTTCCTCTTCTGAAGGATCTTCGTCAACTCTATAAACTTAGCCGTCAATGTTCCTATCTTCCATGACCCAATTCTCAACGAGTGTTAGAATAGATGTTATTTATTCCTCAATTTTTAATAAAACATTTCCCATTCAAACCTTTGGAATTAAAAAACTCCTCATCAGAAGTCTCCCCTTTAAATAAGTCTTATCCGAAACAAATTCAAATTAGTCAGACCATTAAATTTGGTATAGCGAGACTAATAAAAAGTAGATAACTATTAGTGTTTATAATTTATAGTAAGTTAGTAATCTTAAAAATAAGACACCTAATATAACAAATTAAAATACTCCGGTAATATAATAATTCTTCGCCCATCAATACATGAAAGTTAAACTTGAAAGGAAATACTGACACCCTTTTTCTGGTAGGAGAAAGCTTGCTTGCTCATTTCTTAATTATGCTGGTTGAAGTAGGAGAGAGATTTGTCTGTTTGTTTGTTCAAATTCTTGAATATGGACTCTGAATTGTGACCCCTACCAATCTATATGAATCTATATCTATTTCATTTCATCTACTTGGGGTCTTTGTACTTATGTTCGTGAAATTTTCGTCGGTTGCCCCTTTTAGTACCAGTTGTTTAACAAATAATTTTTTTTTGAACCAATTAAAAATCTTACAAGAAAATATTATATCACAATCTAAAATTTTATAAGTTATAGCAAACGTTAAATTATAATCTAATATTTTATGAGAAAAATAAAAATTATGAACAAACATTAGACGAAAAGAGACATTTGCGTAAATCAGCCTCCAACTTCTCATGTTGAAGATTTTACTTATAGACCCCTTCAGTTTATGGCAGTTTGGACAACATCAGACATATTGGCGACTAGGTATAGTCGGAACCAGATTTATAATTAAAATTTTACGGGTTTAACTTTTAAAAATTTTAGAACTAAACTTATTATATTTTAAAAGTTATGTGTTCACATTTACTATTTATGTAATTTTAATTGAACCCGTCGATAACATACTACATACGCCCTTGTGTGTAACTGTACTTATTTGACGTAAGATATATTTTCTTGGTTTTCTCTAATCATATATTTATAGATATAAGGAAAAGAAATAAAAAACAAATTGAATTGTCTTGGCACCATTGAAAAAGACGAGGACCTTTGCCTGCCTAAAGTGCGAGCTTTTGTTTGCTAGGTCAATATATATAGTGCCAATACACACACATTAATTCAATGAAAATGGCCAGCCCATTTCTACTTGATTCCCCCCACTCCTCTTTGCTTTATCTTTTATCAATCCCCTTTCACTAACTTGTTGGTCCACATGATGACAAAGAAGTTCAAATTTTTAGACTTTATTTTTTACAGTGTGTATATAATTTTACATATGGGTTATTTCTATTGTCGAATCGATAAGTTCGTGATGTTACTTTGTAGGGGAAATTATGGAAAGTATATATTGTGCCATATAAAACGGAATAGAGAGAGTACTCGATAGTGTCTTATGATTGTGCTAGTTGTATGTAACTAATTTGAACAAGTCATTGCTTTAATAGATCAGATTAGAACATGTTTAAAGATGGATCAGATTCTCTTCTATTGCATGATGTGTATAGACAAAAATAATATTGACAAATATCGTTGTATGCGGCTAAAACCGAGCTCGATATTTGATCGAGCTTCCGAACTCCTTGATTAGGCCAGGGCCGAAATATCTGTGATCGAATGAAGTCGAGCTCAAAGATCGATCTGACGACTAACACCACCAACCAAGATTGGCACGTGGTAATTATGATCGAACCCAAAGCACTATCGAAATTAGCCATCGGAACCATCAGATTTGCCCTCGAGTTTGACGAAGGCGTGACCGGTCTTGTTTCTAATGGTCTCGAAGAAAGCTCTGCCAGCTCATCGACAAGGGTCTGTGATTCTTGCCATTAACGGATCATTATAGCAGAAATCACGAAATTAATTAAAAAAGGGAACCAACGGTCTTCAAAATCAAGGACTTATGTTTTAATAGTGCAATTAAATAATACCCTAAGGTGTAGGTCTCTCTCAATATATAAAGGGGACGTGACAATCCATGAAAAATATGGTAACATACACTCATAAGAAATACATTTTCCAAGCTCCTACTCTTTGATATTTTTTCTATCAATAAAAGTATATTCAACTCAAGGGTGGCTGGCATTCTTAAATTGAAATCATTCAATTCCTGTGATTTGCAGTTTATTTTATCGCTATTTATTTTAATTACAATTTAATTTATCGCTTTGTATCAAGTTAATTCACAGGTCCTTATAACCACTAACAAATTTAATTGTTATTCGATTTTGAGGGTAAATAGTTTGGCGCCCACCGTGGGGATAAGGATAATAGTGATTATTTGATACAAATCTTCATAGCACACACTACTTTACACTTTCTCTTTGAAGTATCTTTGATTTCAGGCTAAAAATGTCAAACTCTCAATTAGCACCCCTGCTTATCGACAACGAGATCGGTCATCAGGGTGAGAATAACAACATAGCGCCCGGTAACGTAGGGCCATCCGCTGGTCCCGTAGGAATTACGATCGTAGACTTGATTGATGTTAATTCACATGTGGCGATCGACGCCAACTTGCCTACCGACCCCGGAAATAGCATATGTGGTGGAGGTCGATCGGCAGCTTAAAACACACAAAATAATGAAGAAGACGGGAACATCCTACGGATGATCTTAGAAATGTTGCAAGCTCAACAGGTGGAGATAACTCAGTTGCAGAGCCAGAGCCAGACGCCGACCAGAGTTGAACCCGATCTGCCCTGTGAAGTCGCCCGCAGAAATGAACCGGTCATAGTGAGGTCAAATGAACAAGAATTGGGTACTAACCCTAAGATTATAAAGATGCTCGAGGAGCTGACAAACGGATAGAATCAGGGAAAAAGAAAATCTAACCAAATGACAAAAAGATGGAAACCTACAATTCCAGGGTGGATCAAATCCTAGAGGCACCTCCTATATTAAAAGGACTGGATTCCAGGAAGTTCGTGCAAAAACCTTTTCTTCCAAGCGCGGCTCTAAAGTCGATCTCCAAGAAATTTTGTATGCCCGAAATACCTAAGTATAACGAGACAATCGATCCAAAACGAGCATGTAACTTCTTACACGTGTTCCATCAAAGGGAACAACCTGGAAGACGATGAGATCGAGTATGTTCTACTAAAACGATTCGGGGAAACCCTGTCAAAGGGAGCTATGACATGGTATCATAACTTACCTCCTAATTTTATTGATTCATTTGCTATTCTTGCAAACTCCTTCGTGAAAGCACATGCTGGTGCCATCAAGGTCGAAACCAGAAAATCAGACATTTTCAAAGTTAAACAGAAGGATAACGAGATGCTCAGAGAATTCGAGTCCCATTTCCAAATAGAACGAATGGATCTGCCGCGAGTCGCTGATGATTGGGCTGTACGAGCTTTCACTCAGGGACTCAATATTCGGAACTCGGTGGCTTCACACCAACTAAAGTAGAATCTAATAGAATACCCTGTCGTTACCTGGGCAAATGTACATAACCGGTATCAATCAAAAATCAGAATCGAAGATGACCAACTCGGGGGCCCCTAGGAGTCTGTTTATCCCGTCGGAACCCTCGACAAAGTCAAAAAAGACATTGATCGTGAACAAAGATAAAACAGGGATCGATATATACCATATAATAGAGATTATAGGAACAATGGGTCCGGGCGGAACCCCGTAAGAATCGGAAGAAGAAATGATCGAGGTCGAAGAAATTGGGGGCTCTTGACCAAAAACAGCTTCGATAGGTCCATCGGGCCTAAAGATGCACCGAGGCTATCGAAATAAAACTTCAATGTTGATGCTACCGCTATCGTATCAGCTATCGGGCGCATCACTGATACCTAGTGGCCTCGACCTCTACAATCAGATCCAACTCAAAGGGACCCTAACCAGATGTGCAAATATCATGGCACTCACGGTCATAGAACGGATGATTGTTGACAATTGAGAGAAGAAGTAGCCCATTTATTCAACAATGGGCACCTTCAAGAATTCTTGTGCGACCGAGCTAAGAACCACTTTAGAAACAGGGATTCTAACAAACAGACAGGACAAGAAGATACTGAACCTCCACACGTCATAAATATGATCATCGGTGGAGTCAATATCCCACAAGGGTCGATGTTGAAACGCACCAAAGTATCTATCACTAAGGAGAAAGGAACTCGAGACTATACTATAAGGAATTTTATCTTTCAACGACGAAGATGCGGAAGGGATCATACAGCCTCACAGTGATGCACTAGTAATATCTGTACTCGTAAATAGAACTCTAATTAAATGTGTGTTGATTGATCCAGGTAGCTCAGCCAACATCATTCAGTCGAGGTTCGTGGAACAGCTCAGTCTACGAGACAAAGTCGTACCTGCAGTTCGAATTTTAAACAGGTTCAACATGGCATGTGAAAACCATTAAGGGATAGATAACGTTACCGGTCAATATCACAGGAACCATACGAGAGGCCAAGTTTTATATGATCGAAAGAGACATGTGTTAAAATTATCAACTCCGGAAGGGATTAAGACAGTCTACGGGGAACAACCGGACGCAAAGGAATTGTTTACAGTCGAACAAGTGGTTCCAATATCAGTACTCACGACATCGAAAGATCCAAATTCGGGCGCAAACCAAGAGGCCAAATAGCAATCACCGACACCGACCATGACCCAATCGGATAAGCAGGGGACTT